TTCGTTACCATAACATTAAATTACCTATGATATCAAAAATAGGGATCTTAAGCAAAAGCATAGACTCAGTTTGAGATGACCTGTTGAGTTACTGCAATCACACGACACATCAGCGTAACTGTTTGGAGATAATTTTGCAACAGACTTTCAGAGTGACATGTATACTTGGCATTTTATAGGAGGCCTAAAGGGGCTGAACCTCCAAATGATGCAATGGTTTCTGTACACCTAACTTTGGATCTTCTGAAGATTGCAGTCTAAATGTGCATTTTAATAAAATATGCTTCTATTATATTGTATTGCTGTACAGTTCCCCAGTGCAGGGGGATCAGAGAGGCTAAGGTCAAAATAAATACTATATAGATATTGAAGTCTGTTCTGTGAGACTTTGAACAGGAGGATTTGAAAGATGACTATTTTTATTAGTGCAGATGCATACAATATAACCTGATTTTTTTTGTGCAAATGTCAATTGCAGTATACATATTGTTCACTGAAGATTATGTCATTGCTCAAGAGGGAGGAGAGTCCCCAAATGAATGATTAATAATCAATGTGTCTGGGTTATTTTATTCCTCAGAAAGAAAGAATGAATTAACGGTGTCTCTCTCAAAAATGGTAAAAAAGGTCCCAGAAATAGGTCACACCAACTACTTCTGTACACAGAGGGGGCCCCTCTGTAAGTGGATTTCCCTAGTTTGAGCACGAAGCCTCACCTTCCTACATTCTAATGCAATTAGGGATAAAAAGCAATATGGATCAGAGTCCTATTAATTGTTCATACAATCATGAAAAACTGAGGGAAAGGGTGGAGAAATACCCAGGGAGAAGGGTTTTGAAGGAGGCCCAAGATAATGCCTAAGCATGTACTCTCTCTACAGATGACCCAAAGTCTTCCATCAACTCTGGGCCAACAGCAGACTTATGTTCCAGGACAAAGGCAAATCAGGTGTAAGAGGAACAGGGAGCAGCCTCTGAAGAAATTTGTATTCTCTGACGCTCAGTGATAAGCTCTCCAACTAGGTGCAAGATGCATTAAATATCTACATGTGTTGTTACATATTTGTGTATGTTATCTTGAGGCATTGTTCTTTTTGGAAAAATAACACTACTTTGCATTGATAAACATTAGGTAGAATCAGTAGAAATATTTTTCAGGACCATATGGTAGTTTGTTTTGGGTTTTTTTCTTCCAAAGGAAGAAGTCGTTTGGTAGAAACAATGGGTTTGTAATTAATCAATCTCTGTTAGTAACGGAGTGGGGAATTACTTTAGATTACTCCCATGTTATGTTCTAGGTATCAGTTAGATCTGCCTGCAGGTAAGCTTGTGGACTCTTCTTTTTGTCAAATTCCCTGTGTCTTTTCTTAAGGAAACCTGCTAATTTTAAGAGGTCTTTTTCTTTTTTTCTTTCTTTCTTTCTTTTGTTCTTTTTTTTTTCTTTCTTTCCTTTCTTTCGTTCGTTCTTTCTCTTGTTCTTTCTTTCTTTCTTTCTTCTTTCTTTCCTTCTTTTCTTCCTTCCTTCCTTCTTTCCTTCTTTCCTTCTCTCTCTCTTCTTCCTTCCTTCCTTCCTTTCTTCCCTTTCCTTCCTTCCTTCCTTTTCCTTCCTTCCTTCCTTCCTTTCTTCCCTTTCCTTTCTTTCTCCTTTTCATTAATTTCTTTTATTTTTTTTTCTTTCTTTTTCTTCTTCTTTATCCCTTTACTGGTGCTGCTACTCTCTAGATGCAATCACAAAAAAAACAAACCCGAGACACTGAAGTGCAGATATTCAAAAGCACCGATTATTTTATGCTAATGAATGAACTATCTAGTAATACAGTATTTCACTTGTTGTGCCCTCCTGGTGGTAGCACAAGATAAATCCAACAGTGTGTTTAATTAACTAAAAAAAGCAGAAACAAATCTCCATGGGTTAATAATATTTATGGCCTAAAAATGGACAAACTAAAGAAAGGGAGTAAATTATGTAGTACAATTCAGAGAAAAATGTAATTAAAATAAAATTCTCACGTATTCTAGAAAGTGCATCTATAAAGACATGTGCAAGCAAGGCACATACCTGCTTGAGAAAAAACACTAAAATTAAGGTCATCACTGAGGAACTGGAAAAAATATTTTTCTAATTATAAAAAAGAATGAAGGCAAACTTCTCAGGAAGAAATGTTAGATCTTGTTGTCCATACAGGAATTGTGTCTTTTTTAATCCGTAAAACGCATGGTATCAGATGGTGACTGAACCTTAATTCAAGTAGCTCAACAACATGAATAAGAAAATGCCAGGTCCATTTAACTGTGTCCTTTGTCAAATGCCAATAGAGATGGTGACTTTTTATAAATATCCAGTAGTTAAAAATATAAAACACTGTAAGTAGATAAGACTACTTGGGTTGCACTAACGTGAGGTCATTTCACCCCTTTATGATTCCTATTCTTTGGCTGGAGGCACACATCTTTGGCTGGAGGTGCACATCTTGTCCTGTCCCTCAAAGCAGCCTGTGGGTCTGGAGATTTCTTAGACAGAAGTTGGCACAGGCCTACATCAAAGGAGATCCCAGAAGCATCAGTTTCACATCACTGTGCTAGCTCCAAGGGGGCTTTGGAAATTTAGCTCTGTGGAATATAGAGATGCACTCTCAATAACATAGCTGAGCTGTGGACTCTTTCATGGGTTTTCCATATGAAACGTTCCTTATGGAGTCCTTCTGAGCCAAGAAGCCATGTACAGCTCTAAGCCTCAGCCATGCACCATCCAGTGGAAATGCTTCTGCAGCAATAAATAGCTGAGGCTGGTGTTACTGAAACCTTTACTTGCACCTGTGAGACTTGCTCTTTCATCGAATTATTTCAGTTTAATTGAGAAATCTATATTCACACAGGGGGCATTAGCATGCTGGGATTAAAATTATGAGTGTTTCCACAGGTCTATCTGTATGATGGACTGAGGATTGAATTTTCTCTCAGTTATGCAAGTCTATATAGAAGGATGACGATACATCATATTTACAGTTTGCCTTGACCACACATGCACACTCTGTGACGTACTAAGCAGTTCTGACTCTTTGTAGCTTGTCCCCTTCCTGATCTTGAATCTTTTATGTCACCTTTAGAGTGCTGGGTCTTGATATTACTGCAATGTTGTCTGATTTAGGATTTACAATATTTATTGACAACAGGAAAACACAATCCCCTCATATTTGTATAACTTTTCAAATCCTAATGCTGACCATGATCTCATTACCCATTGCTCAGTGTCTAAACCTTGCTGTTTAGGTCAAATAGACATTTCAGGATGATATGCAAAAAGATTTGTTAACATTATGAGATCGTTTCACTGCAATGAATTTAAAACAGAGAATATTTACTGACGTGTCACTACATCACACGTACACACTGTCGTTTGTAAAACCTATGAGGTTTTACAAGGTCTGTGGTAAGATAACCTCTTGAACAAAAAAACAATTAATTGTGCCTATTCAGAAAAAAAACCCTGGTATTAATGAAAAAACACAGAGAATTACAAGAAATATTTTAACAGTCATCAGTCTAGCTTAAATTTCTGACACACTTCATTAGTGTGCCCATTGCCTTATACTCTGATCACGACCCTCAGGAGTGAGAAGCACAGCGTCCTATGATGGCACATCTCTACTGAGGGCTGGGAGCAGGGAGTTTCCCTTCACAGACTGCACACCTGGACAAGTGGTGGGTAAGTAGGACTTGTCTGGAGGGGCAGAAATCTGCAGAGATGCCTCCGTAAGGCAAATGATGTAGGCAGTTGCTTGGCAGCTCCCTCTGTCCCTGCTGCAACAGGCTCAGTAGGGCTGCCCCAGAACTGCACTGTCTCCACACCACCATCATCTCTTCCTGCGCGGAGAACCCAGCCATCTCCAGCTGACACCCAAGTGCTTGGAAGATGCTTTCCTCACCTGTCTTTATTTTTGAAAGCCACTGCTGGGACTTGCAGATAGATCCCCAGCCAACTCCATGATCCATGTCTTTCCCTCCTTCCTTGCCGCCCAAGAGGGACAGAGCTGCATAAAGAAGGGGGCAGATAAATGGGTGAAAAATTTATAGAAATGAGCAGACCACTCTACGAACATCGATAGTCTAACAACCTTCATTTCCCTCACCCCTAAAGATAAAATGGCCCAGAACCATCAGATTCTCTCTATTTTTATAACACAAATCATAGTTTGTTTGAGTTTAAAAAGTTAACTTCAGGTGAGTGTCATCATTTATCTCCATGCGTGGCATGGACAAGACAGCACACTAGTTTTGCTGAAATTACTGTTTACGTACCTGGAAACCACAGAAAAATACACGTATATAGAAGTGATAAATGTAGAAGCTTCTCTACATTAAATGTCTCTTTGCATTTTCCACTGCTCATGCAAAATTATTTATGTCAATATTTTAATTTCAGTCAGGAGGGATGGAATCAAAGAAAGAGTGACACCTAGGAAAATTGTTGTCAGCAAACTGATGACTACATACCATAATTAAGAAATAATATAAAGAAGGAAGAAGCTTGATATAAATGCTGTTGTATTTTTGTGAGGTTGGTGCTAAAGAATCAAGGAGGAGAAGACATATTAAGACATAAATATTACAATATTTTTCATTGTATACTATTGTAAGATGCATTATATACATAAATGATCATTTCTGTAATCATAAGAATATTAATGCAGCAGCTAATAAATAAAATAAGCACCAAAGGACAAGAATATGACCTTAAAATCCTTACTCAGCTGCCCTATTAACTTTCTGAACACCACTGAAAGTGTGTGTCAGCTGCTTAAATTAAAGGGAGAGTAATTAAAATTACACAAATAATAGGTGACTGGGGTCAGTCTCCATCACCCTATCTCCTATATTTCAAAGTATTTTACATTTTTTCCATCAATATGCAATCTTAATTTTCCTTACACATCTCTCAGATACTCTTGGTTTAAAAACAACTTACCATAAGAAGCAGAGCTTTTGACTGATGGCCTGAGCACAGGTTTTGGGGCCATACCCTTAAATCCCTTCCCATAGCATAACAGATGAGTTGATTTCTCAGTGTCTTTGAGTATGAATGTACTTTGTCATCTTTCTTTTCTAAAAAGCCCTTTTAATAGGAAAAAAAGGAAAATAAAAAAGAAAAAAAATCAGATTTATATTTCAGATCTATACTTGAGATCCCCTTTCCTGTGAAGATGGCTAGCATTCAGCAAATCAGCAAAAAAGTTACATTCCTATACTCCGGAACATTAAAAGTAATTGGTAGAATAGTGTGTGTCTCAAAATAATCCAGATTTTTGTATTTTTACTGTAATGAAAGTAATAATATTAGTAATCATAATAATAAATGAAAAAAAGTGTGACTGGGAATTGAACGAGACAAGAGAAACCCAAATGGCAGCATAGGGTCCTGACCAGAAGTAGTTTTTTTCTCAGAAAACATTGAGAGTCTTCTCTTAATACCAGAGCAGCATTTTACTGTCTTTGCTGGAAGTTATTGCATGGGTATAAATTATCTAATAATAATCATGCTGACAATTTATAGGTATTCTAGCAGTGTTCATAAAAAAGGATTTTGAGGGCATGGTGTAAGCACAGCATCTAATGCAGGTCTTTAGAAAGTCTTAGAATGAAAGAAATGAGTGGAGCTTTTTTGTGCTGTTAATAAAATATATTGATAAGGTAAAGAGGGAAACATGAACATAGGTATCTGCCTTCTTGGTAGAGGCATTCTTCAGCCTGCAGAGGCAGGAGGAGAGGGAAAGGGGCTTGCAGCTTCAGGAAGCCAATGCACACATGGGTTTTGCAGGTGCTCGCACGAGTTCTGTGCCTTTTGCGTCGTGTGCAAGTCCAATCCCCTGCAATAATTGCATGTGTTTACAGAAAACATAAATAGGGAAGGAACAAACACTGGGATATGAAGCTATTATTATTAGTTTCAGTGTACTTAAAGCCTTTGCAGTATCATAGTGACTTGTTAGAGCTAACAATGCACATTTGCCTAGTTTTAGTGATCTCAGTCCTACTAAACTTGCTTCATAACCCCCTCTGCATGATGAAACCCCTTAATAAAATAAAATTCACTCTTCATTAAATAGCAATAATTATTTTTTCAAGCGATTTAGCAGAATTTAAAGTATTCAGTTTTCTTCCTCTGTAATCCCACGTGTGCAGGCTCTAGGTCAACATGTTTTCTGTTGAGGGGGTGCTATGCTCTGGCTTAGGTATATATGTGTTCATAATGCTCTGATTTCAGTGGAAACTCCTGAGACTTACACTGAAGTCCTGCTGTTACGACTATTAATGTTGTAGCTCTAGAGAGCCATACAGGACATTTGCTGTATTAGACCTGAGGGTAAGCCCAACTCTCTCATCTGGAAGAGGTATTTTGATCAATGGATGAATATGAATGATTCATAAATGAACCCTGAATGAGTAGAAAATGAATTCTTACATAATACTGGCATAGGAGTCAGAGAAATATGGGTGAACACAGGTAGAAGTTGGCAGAATGGGCTTTAGCAATCTCATATCTGCTCTCACAGACTACAGTTCTTGACTTGGCTTTCTTCCTTGAGCTTTATCAGGCACAAGCTCATCCAAACTGGAAGTTTTTCCTCAGAAGTTACATAGCAATAAATCAGGGCATACCAAAAAATAACCAAAAGAACACATCTGCAAAACCAAACCAATTTTGAAAAAGGCAGGCTGCCACAATATATGACTACTTTATACTTCGTAGCTACCCAAGTGGTCAAAATATCTTTAGCTCTGGTAAAATGCAAGGGAGTATGGTCTATATATTTAACATACCAATACTATTTACTATGCTTCCAAGGATTTGGACTATGGCAAAATCTACTGAGACTGAAGATCTCCAACAGAGATGGCACAAAACAAGATTAGCTTAAACCAAACCATACAGACTAAACCATTCTACATCTCTCTCCGCTTTTTTCTGGCTCTGAAATTCTCCTTTACTAGTAGCTCCATGGAAATTTTGTTCCATTATATTGAATTTGGAAAGGATTCAGATATGTACTTAACCATTAGAGACAATGAGGTGCCATTCCCTTTTAGAGAAAACTGAGAAATGTATAATTCTGCCACATGACAGACCCAGAGCAAAGTAAACCTCCCACCAAACCCTCTCTTCTCCTCGGAAAAGAAATTAGTGGCTAAAATACATTCCCTCCCCATACCTCATACCTTGCTAGATGAGAACATTTCAATATAGACTTGCTGCTGTGGAGGGTGGCTACTTGTGAGTGGGGCCTTGGATGTGCATGCCTGGAGGTCACATAGAGCCATCAGCATCCAGTCACCTTCTGCATAGACATTCTGCATGGGGAATGCCAGCAGCTGAATGGCCGGGCACTGACTGACAGATCGTCTTTGGTTAGTTCTGTGCTCTACAGTTGAACTCTGGAGGCTTTCTTGAGTGTTTAATTTCTTTCTTCAGGTGATTAAGGAGGTCTAGTCAATTTATTCTTCAAATATATTGTATGGATGCTAAGTGAGCTAATAAAAAAGAAGATCGATCTATCTCTCTCCTGACTTGTCCTGTTTTCCTTATATTTTTGTCATTTCTCAGTAAAACTGAAGACAGATGGGAAATGTAGTTTCTTACAAAGTCATTGCTGGTTAGAATGTCACTGAACTTGAAAAGACTTTATTACAGTCCTCCTAGAAATTGTCTGTCTCTAATGTTTTCCTACCCACCACCTTTTTGTGATGACCGAATTTAGGAGGAAATTCTCATTTTAAGCAGTCTATTTTTACAGCAACTTATCAAACAGTGGCCTTTAGCTGTTGTTCTGTGACAGCCACTCTATTAAAATCCTGATGTAAACAAGTGGAGAAGGTGAACTAGAAGTGCAGATATTTGCACAGCATTACTGTCAGGTAAAATTTTAAAGATAGGTTTTATGAACCCATTATTTGCAGTCAAGGCTTTTGACTACAGCTTCTGAAATCATTTAAGTAGACAAAGTGTTTTGTCAAAACATACTGCTGGGAGTCAGTATGTAGCTTCTTTTTATGTAATTTAATTTGGTTCTGTTGTTTGCATGAAAGTGGGATATCTAGCTGGGCAGCAATAGTGGTGCTGTGTTCGATCACAATATGGTGAATTTCTAGTGTAATTAACGTTAAATGCCTTTTGTTTTCATTTAGTGCTTAATGCATGCATAATTACAGTGTACATACAGACCTATAAGGGAATATGCTTGAATGCTTTTAAATGCAAACAACAAAGTCCAAAGATTTTATAGTTCTCTTCTTTGGAGTGGTATATGCACAAGAAGGTATACCCATTTTAAAAACACATGGCCTGTAAAGTTTTCTTGACATAGCCTTTGAAAGAAGTGGGCACTTTAAAGAGGCAGAGCTGTTGTTGGCCTTTCAGCTCTGAGCCTTGTGTCCGAGGTGATGCTGAATAGGACTGCCCTGTGACAGGCTGGCTTGCTGTGGTCCCCAGGCAGTCATGTAAAGTCAGCATTAGAGCAAGGTATGTGTTAGCCAACCTTCCACTATGCCAGAACACCACCCTCTGTGTGCTGAGATTCTCTGCAGATGAGGCACCTTTTGAAGAAAACAGCCTAACTGTTCACCAGATATTCACTCACACAGTTAAAAGACTTTCTGGTAGCTCCTCTACTTCACCTGGAGCAACATCAGGCACAGAACGTGACCCAAACCTGTTGGTTGGGGTTTTCCTGAGGTACCAAGCAGTGCCATGGTACTGCTTGTGTGGTCCGGCGTAACTTCATATGAGCATTTCCTATCAGCATTTTGGCTAAGTCACACCTTACAGCATTTTTTAACTTCATATTGAATAGAACCAGTACTTCTCAAACGTACTTTGAGAAAGTTGGGAAAAGTTGGAAATGTAACAGTTCCAAATATAATTTCCAAACATTCTTAGCTACTACTGTCAGTAGAAACAGTGATGACAGGAGGAGAAGACATTTAGCTCCCCTCACAGTATTAACATCCCATTTTGATGTATCTTGTGTACAATTACATGTATACTATAGTTAGGGAACATCTAATAAAATAAAACACATGGTAAACAGTAAGATATAGCACAAAAGTGGCAGGACATGGGGACCAGATCTTCTCCATTAGCATACTGGCAGAACAGTAGTAGATAGATGGAGAAATCTCAGGAGATATAAGAAAAGGAAAGCATTTTTCAGCCAGTAGCAATTGTGGTCATAAAGAGAGAAAGATAATAAGAAAAAAAGTTGTCAGATAAAAGGACAATAGGCGTAGTAAGATTATAAGTCTTTTAGCGATTCCATTCCATCCAGCTCTTCCCTTTGTAAGTTCATTTTGATCTGCTATGCATCAAAGCCAGATCAATTGTGAAAAATGCTCAGGCATCCTTTGCCCAAACATAATCCTACATCTCTGCACATAAATCAGATCAATAAATTAGTTATTACATAGGATATGGATTGAGAAAGCCAACAAATGAAAGAAAACCACAATCACCAATGTATTGTTGCCTACACAACCATGTAATACCACAGTAGCTGTGTCAATTAAGAAAGTGATGAGAACAGTCTTCTACTGAGTACAAATTTTATTTGAAGATAAATTCTACCTTAGAGTAGCATGTCCCTGCAAAACTGATGCATTTATAGCAGTACACCCCAAAAACCTCTTCCATGCATCGCTTGAGCCATACAGTTGTAATTTTCATGTATTAGTAGTTCCAAATTTCAGTCCAGCATTCCCTTTCTTTCAAAATTAGTCCTGGTTGTACCATTTAATCAGCACCATTTTCTAAGCCAATTACTTGGAGCAATATGACCGCTGGTACCATACCAGCCTCAAGTCCTGTTCTGCCACAGCTGCAAAAGGGGCAGTGAAATGGCATGATACCAGCTCTCTTTGGCCCTGATCCAGCAAAGCACTTAAACACCTGTTCAACTCAAAGTATATGAGTAATCCCAGAGAAGACAAGATGATAAATTCTTTGAACCAGTACCTGCTTAGATTCATAGACTGTGAAAACAGAAGGGAACATCTAAACGTCTTGTCTGACCTCCTGTATACCACAGGATTTCTTTGAATTCAGTCTTGCTCAGTCTTTCCTTT